TTCCATTCATCGATCCTCCAATACTGGACATATTACTATTCACAATGTCTATAAGGACATCTTTGGGAACCACATTTTGCGAGAATCCCTCTGGCAGTTGTAAGTAGAACGCTAGCAAGGCTGTTCGATTATCTTCAGGTGACTGGATTGGATAGCCTGGAATAATGTGAACCATGTTGCCTGAAAATGCCATTTTGTCAGACGACCGTCTCCGACGGGAACTGAAATGACAGGAATTATAATAAAGAGGTTACTAAGAATATACGTGTAAAAAAAGTAGGTAAAAAAAGGTCAATTCTACATACGAGCCAAGTGGCCCATTAGGCCGGCGCTTATACCGGTTTCTGTAGCATGAAGCGACTAGGAGTATTTCTACTCCCCCCTGGACGGGATGCTAGTCCATCGTGGGGTTACTTCCCGGAATTTAATTCGCCGGTACCCATTTATACGCCTGGGTGGACAGAGGCACTTTGAGAGTAAAGTGTCTTGCCCAAGAACACAACACAATGTCCCCGGCCAGGGCTTGAACCCGGACGGCTCGATCCGGAGACGAGCGCACTAGCCAGGACGCCACCGCGCCTCCCACAAAATAAAAAGTAATGTGCATGTCAATTGTAGAATAAATGTAAAATCACAATGCAATACGACTGTTTGGCAAGAAAAATTTTCTCGGACAATTACAACTGTGCAACAACCTATCGTAAAGTGGGACAAACTGAGCTCCTCGTTCAAGAGAAGTTGTTTAGAGATTATGCAATATGTTTTTCTTTTAAGTTACGCTTTGTGCAATGTAGCTATTGTTACCTCGTTGCATTTGATTGACACAGCGTCTCGTCAGCGGCACAGTAATCTGTAGCTACCCTTGCAACTTCACGCTTAAAGTCATCCTTCATTTGTTCGTCCCACTAATAAAAACACACAGAGTAAAACCATAGCTAAACGAACAAATTCATTGTGTAATTTATTTTGGCTACTAGGTTTGGGGTTATAATTAATTTGTCTTCCATTATAAGGGACAGATGACTTATTTTCAACCATGCTCTTCGTATTTCCCAGTCTCCTCTCCTGGTAATTATTGCAAAGTCCCTATTTTGCTTGTAGCAAAGGGTTTTGGAAACCTTCTAAAAAGAGTAATAAAAGAGAGACAAACTACGCTGTCCATGGCCCAGCCCTTCGTTTACTTTAGTTCCTGTAGCATACAGCAAATAGAGCAGTATTTACTCTCCATCAAAATTTCATCATATTAAGGGAAAAGCTGATTTTATTTCACAGGATTTATGAAGAATAACATTAAAGCCCTGGAACCGCGTTATGAACAAAGCACTTGAACTAAAACTTGAACTTTAGTTTTATATTATTTTATTATATAGTTACAAGAACTGCCTGCCCCGCAATTAGTTCCAGAACAAATAGAAGCGGGGGCAAGAGTTTACATTAAATAGGAAAGAAAGAAAAAAAGTAATGATTATTCACAGCAAAATTTCAAAAGGTACAGGTAAAAAAAAAAAGAAACAATGACAGGTAACCGGAGACAAAGAAACAGTGTCGTTAAGGTGCACAGACCTAGGTAACTAGAATACTATAATGAACAAACTATGTTAATTCAGTGAGCTTTTGTATCAGATGAGAGACTTCAATATAGTCATCTTCACATTGTAAAACATCAAGGAGTATTTCCTTTATTTTATTTCGGAATTTAGATGTGATCAGTAATTTCACTGAATGTGAGATGGAATTCCAGCCTGAAACACCAATGCTTGTAAAGGATTATCTTATCTTCTCTGTTCTTGACAATTTTCAAAGAAGCACTCATTCGTGGATGATCTGGTATTATAGTTGTGTATTTTTACTGGTTTTTAAAAATTGCTTCAGGAGGTTTATTAGGGCTTTTTGCGTAAGAATATCGTGCATCAAGTAGCACAAATGTTGGAAAAATAAGAATGAGATTGGAAAGCAACTGGCGAAATAAGGAAATTGCACGTTCTCTGCTCTTCCGAAAGAACATTAAGCGCAATGCACGCTTCTAAAAGATTAGTCCGTTCAAAACGTGACTAAAGAGGAGAAAATACATTCAGAGGATACCTGCCCTGTCTAAATCAACATTACTGTCTAAAGCCTGTCTACGTTAGGACGTTAGTCATAATTTACTTTCTAGCGACAATTTGTTACAGCAAAAAATAATAAGAACAAAAACAAACATAAATAACAAAAATGGAGTACCTTCGTCATATCCAGACCTCGAATTTCTAACATAACTGACTCTTGAATTGACTCGTTTGATGGTGTTTGAGTAGCATGGTCAAGGTCAAGGTCAAGATCAGTTGGAGGACTATCTTGATCATCTTGTTAATGGGTAAAGAAAAATATACATAAAAAACCTGTAACTACTAAAATTATATAACATACATAGTCCACTAGCCATCAAGAACAGCAGAAAAAAGAATACAGCCACCGTCAAATGAGACAAAAGTTAGCTTGACCGGTATGTCAAGTAGCGGTTGCCATGACAACGTCAAATATAGGGGGAGAGACAGCTGGCATATCGAAATTTCCCTTGTGGGGATGAAAGAAACGCTACTGAAAGTTCCTGCGCCACAGAGTACATCGCCAATTTCAAAGTTCCGAGAAAACAGTCACCCTCCTCCTGGCCTCTGTATGCCTGAGAATTAAATGACTTAGATTTATGAAGACTGCCACATGAAGGAGGTTTGAATCATTTAAAAAAAAATCTCGCCTATATAGAAACCACATGACCTTCGACAATTTTCCATCGTCCAATTTAACTGAGTAACACAGGCATCCCCGAACGATGAAAGACTTGAGCATACAGCAGCGAACTGAGGGTTGTCAGAACAATCAACTAACAGAAAAAGAGTAAGGACAAACGTTAGAAGTTTTCTTCTGTGATGTCCAGCCAGCTTAAAATATTATATATAGTTGCTACGTCTAGCTACCTCCACAAAATCCACATGACTTGGCGCAATACTCTTTCGTCCAGTTGGAATGGACTATGCAAAAATTGCCATAATGAGGAAGAGAAGCACAATTTAGGAATCCTGGCTTATCTGAACAGCCTGCTGTAAACGAAAGAGAAAGGAAACAAGAAATAAGATTTTTTTTTGAAAAATGTTAGCTTAAAGCAGAGAAAAGGAAACAATCGACGTAAATCAACACGTTCCACCCATCAAGGAATTTCTTTTCTAACTAGTTCTCCACCCAAGAGCAGCTATTCTACTACCGCGGCTTAACAGCTCAGGCGTTAAATAAAGACTTGCTGCGATAAGCGCTTTGGAAAATAACTCTAAGATTAATGTAGCCATAAAACTTATTAATGCAGTTATTTTCCAAAGCGCTTATCGCAGCAAGTCTTCATTTCCCTACAAAGATAGGATCAAGCGTTCTCAACTGTCAAAAGTTGTGTATAAGGCTAGTTGTTGGGACTGCCAGGATTTTTACATTGGAAAAACAAAACGTAGATTATGTGAAGTTTATATGAAATAATTCATATATGAACTGCGGTTGTAGATGATAGTGAAGAATGATCATCGCAGTAAATTTTCCAATTTAAGCAATNAACTGCGTACTGGTTGATCTCTACCTGAGACCATTCGATCACACCACCTTATCACAGACCTTCAAAGCTGGATTAAGCATGAGAAGAGTTTTCCATATGTTCTCTAAAACGAAACATGTGAAAGCCACTTTGCAGCAGACTTTTCTTCTGTTTCCAATCCTTATTTTACTAAAATATGTTAAGGTCTGTCGGTGTTGTAATCGAACGGTTTTAGCTCAAGACTATCAAATGGATAACTGCTGTTCAGTTAGTAAAATTCTTGCTCAAAAACTCTTGCTTATCAGATTATGTGACTCTAAAACGACATTTTTCCTCGTTTCATGGCCCTGCTGGCTAAGAAGGGCATGCCGCACTGGGGACAACAATGGTTAGAGCGTTGTTATCGCTCAGAACCGTTCAGAAACAAACTTTTATTCACTGAAAAGATCCCCACATACAAAGCTACTTGTCTAGAGTGAGAGAGGAATAAACTATACCTGGTAAGCTAGTTGGAGAAGCAGACGGCTTATGAGCGGATGAAGTAGTTGAGTTTGAAGGGAAACTAGAAGGCAAACCAGATGAAGGATCATATGTTGCTGTAGTTGGAGGCACGGACGGCTCGTCAGTGGATGAACTTGTTGAGTTAGGAGGCAGACTAGAAGGAGCATATGTTGATCCCGTCGGAAAAGTTGGAGGTGCTGCCGTCTGACCAAAGCAGCTTCCACTGCTAATAGATACATCATCTATGGCTATGTCACCAGTGAAAGACGATCCTCTGATTCCTTCAAATGTCACCTAATAAACAACATAAAAAAGCGTCCGGACGAATTAGCAATAAATTTTGTCTTCTCTAGTTCATTCTTACCAAAAAGGTGAAATTGAAGGAGAACAATGCTGCCAATAGTTGGGCGATTAGGTTAAAAAAACACTGGATAAAACTTGAAGAAAATTTTCAAAAACGCTTAGGGTTAAGTTGATTTCGTTTTTGTTTTCTGTTTTCTGTTTTGTTTTTGTTTTTTGTTTTGTTTTTTCTCAGCTCGTTTTTGATAACAAACGGAGTAACATTGTTTCCTCTCAGCGCTTGAAATGAACATGTCTGTTTCTGAAAGAATGGAGTCTGCATGTGCATGGAAGAATCTGATCTTGTATACTGAGGAGCAAGTGGAAATAGTCCTTTTTGAATGATTTGTTTATTGTTGTTTTTGTTGTTGTTTTTTGTTTGTTTGTTTCGTTTTGTTTAATTTTGTATTGTTTTCTTAATTAATTTAAAGTTCTTGCGTATTCGTTTAACCAAAATTCATGTTATGGTTTATTTAGAGGAGGGTGAAATAATGGATGACTCTCATTGAAACTTACGTCGTAATCCAAATAAATGTTTATTTTGGCTTCTTTCCAGCTGTTGCCATGGTTTCCTAAAGCTTCGAATACCACCGAATTTCCGCTAAAGACTGTTAGAGTCTCTATGGTGTCACCATACATGTGATAAAAGAACTTGAGGCAGGACAGCTGTTTATTGCCAGGTACAGAAAACGTAAGCTTTGCGCTATCACCAGGGACTTTGGGAGAAGACGTCTCGATGTACATGTAGTATCCTGTGAAAATAGAAATCATTTTCTTTTCAAAGTAATTAAAAAACTGGTCATTGTCCATCAATCCAAAGGAGGTCTCTCCCTAGGGCAGACTTGACACGGAGATTTTTTTGGTTTGATGTATGTTCACTTTTAAAAACCAAATGAGAAATTAGACACCGGACGCCCAGCTCCAATATGTCGTGCAGACATCCAGAACAAGAATCACTCAAAACAACATGAGAATATAAAACGAGCACGTAAAACACATTATGCTTATGGCGACCCGAAACTACAGTTTCCGGTACACCCTAAATATGCTGGAGGAATGAGATCGAAAATAGGAGAAACCTTCGAAATTAACCTGATGGATAGAAAGCGCTAAAGTTAGGAGGCACTCAGCCAATGGGTAACACGAAACTTGCTCTGATTTGTATTATCAAATACATACTTTTGCTTGTACGAAAGAGTATTATTTTTTTTTTTTGCGGAGTAGGCTTTATAGTGTACGTCAATATAAATAAATAAGTTTATTTTTTTAGACCAAAGAAAAGATTTCAATAGCTTATCCAAATGTATATCTAACCTTCTCCACTGGTATGATCGTTATCTGGGCCTGTATTGTGGGATGGTGTTGACCCTCTGTGTCGTGTCCAGTCAAAGGTATCTGAGTTAGACTGTCGCCAGCCAGAGCACAGTCCATAATCGAAGTCACATGAAGCGTTCCCAGGAATAGTTGCTGTGATGGCAATAAAGAGGCAGAACTCTTGCTTATTTATCAACAAGAATTTTAAGTGGAATATTTTACCTCTGCATTCTCGCCAACAGAACCGTCTCTCCTTTTCACTGGCGGCGCCTTGGCGCCAGGAAAAAAAAATGGGTCTGGAGAAACGTAATGTGATTGGTTACGCTCTTGGATTTAACTCAAAGTAATTAAACGCCTAATGGTTCCTTCCCGAAAATACCTACTGGTTGATCGCTAACTAAAACCATTCATTTAATAACATCACCTTACTACAGACTTTCACCCAGTTAGAACAAGTTTATGAAGAGAGTTTTCAATGTCTTCTCCACAAACAAACACATGAAAGCTACTTTACAACATAATTTCTCTTCCCGTTACATTCGATTATTTCGCTCTAATAGGTTAAAGCCAGGCTGTAGGCCGCTCTACCTACCTAAATAGTAAGAGCGTTGTTAACGCTCGAAAAAGGTTAAGAAACAAACATTCACTCTTAGAAAAGATTCACCACACAAGCGAAGCTGCTTGTTTAGATGGAAAGAATAATCAAAGTGTTATACACTGTACCTGGTGCGCTAGTTGGAGGCTTGGACGGATTATGTGTGGATGAACCAACTGAGGTTGAAGGCAAACCAGAAGTAGGCAAACCAGACGAAGGAACATATGTTGGTACCGACGGGAAAGTTGGAGGTGCTACAGTCTGACCAAAGCAGCTTCCACTGCTAATCGAGACATCATCTATGGCTAAGTCGCCGGTAAAAGACGATCCTCTGATTCCTTCAAATGTCACCTAATATAAACAACATAAAAAAGCGTCCTGACGAATTAGCAATAACTTTTGTCTTCTCTAGTTCGTTCTTACGAAAAAGGTGAAATTGACAGAGAACAACGTTATAAATAAATGGGCGATTAGGTTCAGACAAAAACTAGATAAAACTTTGAAGAAAAGTTTCAAAACTGCTATGGTTAAGTTGATTTCGTTTTGTTTTGCTTTGTTTTTTGTTTCTTTGTTTTGCTTCTTTTTTTTTTTTTTTGGCTAAGTCACCAGTATGAGACAATCCTCTTGTTCCTTCAAACGTGACCTAATGAGCAACATAAAAATACCATCCCAGGAAAAAAAAAGTTTTATCTCTATTATAGTTCTTTGTTACCATGAAGGTCAAATGGAAAAACAGACCAATGTGGCAATGGGTGACTGGTTTCAGACAAATACAAAAGATGCAGCGAAGGAAGATAAAACTATTTAGCAAAAGTC